TGTGATACAGAGCGCTGAATAAGGATCGTTGCCACTGGCTATGCCGAGAAAAATTACCAATGCGCTGGTAGTGGCTCCGGTTGAGATTTGCTATGCTATTCTCTAAAATTGGAGGTCTTTAAGACAAAGTAGTAAGGTTTGCGTTGAACACGGCTGTTAATTTTAGTTGTGCTTTGATAATAACCATTCATATAAAAGTTCAGGGATGATCCTTTCCCTGACTGACTAATAAAAGTGTTTTTCGTCTATCACCAAGCCTTGCACAGTGAAGAGTTGCTAATTAAATCATGTGGATCAAGACGTATGGCACAAAGAGGGTTCATTGTGTGTCCATTATTGTGAGATTCATCTCTACTCTGCAACGGTCTGGTTTTTTGTCCTAAAATCGGTTTTGTTGGGGAAAACTCTTTGAAACGGCATCAATTTTGGCTGTACATACAAGAGGCTCGCTTACCTGACTGTGTCAGTATCTCTAAAACCTGTCTCACGCCGTGCACTCCAATACAAGGTTTCCTCTTGCTTTCGGAAGAAGCAGTGACCTCCTCCGCCGCTGTGCTTGCAACTTCATCTCATAGAGGTAATAAAAGCGTGAACCAATATATTTTTTTGATGAGTTGCTTCCATCAGATTTTACTACAGCGACTGACGAGCGTGGCAGCATGCTCGCAGGGAACTCATTAAGAAGTTGGGTTAAAAGTAAAGCGGGCACTACAAAGAGCGAGGGTGTTGCGGCCAACTTCCTCTTACCCAATAAGTTGATGACCTTTCTCCTTTCATGGGATATAGAAGTGCAACTGTTGCTAGCACCCTGTCTCTTGTCAGCCGCAAAAGCAGCCAGCAATTAGTTCCACTTGCATTCACAGACACAGGACCAAAATACACAAGAAAAGATTATCACTAAGGGCGAGACATGGTGCGAGGAATAGTGTGATGAGTTTATTTATTTCAATAATTCCTTCTTGCACATTCATTCTGCTACATGAGCTGCACAAGCAAAGTTCACTAAGAGGACTTGTGTGCCACAGAAGATCTGGACTCCAAATATGATGCAAAATATCACGTCATTATATAGCCATGGAGAACGAAGGATGCAAGATGGATGAAGACAGAGGGTGGCTGCTAAACGTCTCTCTAGTGCTTCCATCATCATTGTCAAGCAGTTGTCGAAGTCTCGAATTACCTTCTCTTACTCTGCTTAATTGTTCTGCACTAACTTGAATTGCATCAGAGTTATAAGTGGACTTCGTGAAGGCCAGCGTGTTCGAGCCTCCAACCCTAGACACATATGCAATGCAAGTGAGGGTTTTGGAATCTATACCTCTTAACATCGTTTCGTCGGTTAGTTGATCAGCCTTCGGTTCTCTAAGACACCTGATTGCACCATTAGCAAAAGCTGTCATGCATGGAAGAGGAAATGTTGAGAGAGCACTTTGTGGTAGGTGGCGCACATTCCATTCTCGTTAGATATTTTCAATCACTTCGCCCTGTCACTCCAACAGCACGACTGTAGAACTGGTGTTTAAAAATATTCGCTATTCGAATTACTGCCAATCTCAGTGCTGGACGCACAATGGAGACAGTTGTAGCGTCTGTGGCAGCACAGAGTAATCTGCCCCGGCACCTCTAAGTAGACATTTTCTCCTCATCTACCCCATTCCCATTCAGCTCATTCACTCGGTCATGCATTACGAATTTAAATGGGTAAATATGTCTATGACTAAAGGTTTTGGTGGGCCAAAAATGCACATCTGTTTTGGCTGGAGCGTAAGTCGCAACGTTTGCGCACAGTTTTACAAACTCGTCCTCGTTCACCATTACAAAAATTGCTTTTTTCTTACTGCTTCCAATCGCATGCTAAGCACTTCATCTGCACCAGTCATGATTCTCTGACCGCAGCCATTGTTGGATTTTGAGTAGGCCACAGCCAAGGCAAATCCAAGGGGATTATCATAGCAGCAAGGTCATCCCTTCTTTGTCTAACCCATAAGCTTAATTTTAACACGAAGACCATCGGTCGAATGGCCTTCGTTGTCTACAAGTTCGGTCTGGCGGTAACAGAGAGGCAGACAACAGCGATTGGGTCACTGCCTCCTCGATAACCCCTGTGACCGCCAGTGTAGTTTCTGTCTGTGGTGTTTAAATGTCAAACCACAATAACCATTCCGTTCAGAATCCTAATAAAGTTACGTATTTTATCCACAGGTGCGCTACTACCTGTAGCCAATGAAGGGACAGAAATTAAAAACATTATCAAACAACAGTAAGTCTGTTTGGTTTGAAAATCGGTCACCGAAGAAAAAGTTCACTCTCGGACTGCCGCATCTAAGGCAATCGAGATTGCTGTGGTTGAAGAAGTGGAAGAAGGCAAACACGACTTGGCAAATGGAAGATCCGAAGCCTGTTCCAAACAGCTACTTTTCAAATGCATGCCTCAACAAACTGACAACCGTGCAGCAATGGAGGTGTGCCCGACCCACTTTCCGTTTTCGAACGAATATTGTCTTAAATCCACTGTGAGTTACAACTCACGGCAGAGAATTGGTACTGGTGCCGCTTGCCTTATGCTTAAGCCCTGATATGCTTAATTTTTACCGAGGCAAATGCAGTAGCTCTTGAAGGGCAAAGGGATTGTTAGTGGAGGCTGAAATAGGTGTTTGGTGGTCAGCAGTGAGGCGCACTGGTATGCACTGACAAACATGAGCAATTCACATCATCCTCAGACTTTTCCATAATGGCGAGCAATTAGATTTTTCGCTTGGCCAGGAAAGTTAAGCTCTGTATTAAGCACAACAAATTAGATGCGTGAATGCTTTGGCATTCAACAGTGTTTAACGCTAGGCTACATAAAAGCACATTTACGGTATTTGATTACAACATATACGTGGGCAATGACAAAAGGTGAAAGGCAGTTGATGGGACAGTGGATAGCGGGAGAGAGAGGAAAGGAGGGGATGTGAGACAGCCTAGCGATAAAAGACTGCCAAGACACTTGCCTGAGAAATGGAGGTGCAAGACGAAGCTCTAATGAATGAAGAAATTGGGCGAATAGAAGTGGAAGTGGAAGGATGGGGAGAGTTCCACCCATTATCGAATCAAATGCTTAACTCATTCACCACGTAACACGACGATAATTCAGCCTGAAGTGGAAGTGAGATCCGCCAAAGTGTTGGCGGGCTAGAGCATGCAAATGCACATCCGATGTTAGGTTTTCTTGAGAGTCCAACACAAATGTCCGACTTGATGATTTTATAGCCGTCTTTGAACCAAAGAGGTCTCAAAGAGGCTTCTTAAGCATAGCTTTCTAGAGGTCAAAGTTATCCCTCTGCGATAGTACGTGGATCGCGACAAATGCTGGAGGACCCGAGGTGGGCAAACGTTGCTCGATTTTACCTCATGACGAGGCAGCAGTAAGTGCACCACCTATTTTGCTAGTTCCCCTTTGCTATGCCATTCTCCCTTCAATGATACTTCCCACCCATTGTAATCCTCATACGATTTGTATCCCAATTGATTCGCAATGTTCCGTCCTTATGCCCCACGATCTTGATGGTTGAAAGTTGTTTTAGAATGAACCCTGGACACACCACTGCCCTTAAAGAAATTGGTTAGTATTTTACGAAACATTAAACCATCGAATTATTAGTGATTTTAATGAAAACACACGCCCTTCTCGCTCTTCTCAGGCAAAGTTTCCGAGTACAGACCGGTTGACGGAGGTACAGGCCCGTGAGATGTGTGGAGTGAGCGTCGCTGTGATTGAGCCCCAAGCAATCACAAGTCCGGTGCACCCTAACAACATACTGGCTGATTGCACGAAAATTTAATAATTCGTAGCTACGGTACTGCATCTGTCAAATACTATCTTAAAGTGCATAGTACGTACGGTGGATGTAAATGTTTATCCGATGGAATTCCATGGCTGCAGAGGAGGAGGCATCCATTGACCAAGTCAAGGAAGCGAGACCCGTCTGGCTAATGTTACTTTTAGTTAGTCACATTAGGAAATGGCAAGGCAAATTGTAAGATCAAACGCCATTTCAAAATCTAGAATTCTCCTCATTGACGCAGCCTGTGTAACGAAGACTAGACCGTCAACCTGCCACCTTCAAGTTAGTCGTAGACGCTTCTCAGGTCGTAGCGTATACTTCTCGCCTTCCCAAAAGGTGCTCAATTTTCTGCCCTCTTTCCACCACTTGTGGCTGACTCGATTGATCAACAGTTGTCAGCGGATATTGTGGCCAAACACTACGTTTTTGATCTCTGCTTAGCATAGTTTGCCCTCCTCTTGAGGCGGTCATTCGATTCCTCCACCTTTAAATTCACCTGCAGACTACCTTTTCCTTGTATTTTTGCTGTTTCTGCAGAAACAAAGTTGCATAAACGCGACGAATTTCACACTTCTTTACCCACCACTGAAAGGAATTAGCCAACCAACTTGTGTACTGATAGAACCTTCGACGATCTTGCTTCTGAAATCCTGTTTCGAATATTTGTCTGGATTTTGTAATCACGTGTTTACTACTCCACTTCTCAACTTTAAGTCGGTACCCGACCTTGTGTCTCGAAGTCGAAGGCGAACATTTGAAAGGAGCAATTTGAAGGAGCAACAAATTAATGACTTGAGGAATATTGGTGCCATTTTTATGATCCTTGCCTGAAGCGTAGCAAAGGCTTGTGGCGACGTTTGAATACTTCCCAGACGGAATTGATTGTCAGTCCGTTGAACCGTTTACACCACCCCCTCCTCGTCGCATTAACCAACGGGAGTGGACTAACCTCTGCCGATCCCAAACATTCTAAATTTTGCTGCATCTGCATAGCATCGACTCGGAAGTTGTGCAAGTAAACACCTTTAAAAAAACAATTAAGATGCACCATTAAAGGATTCTTAAACGCGAAAGTCGTATAAAACAAATCACAGATTCTCAAATGCAGCATTTAGCTCACGGAAACCAAAAAGACACCGTTTTACTCGTCAAGTTGTATCTACACGATGTTTCCTATAAAAGCTCCGAAGATGACGAAGGACTCCCGCCCTCCCTATCACCTCCAGATCGGTAGCCTTGGGGATCGAATGCAGCATGCAAGAGTTCAAGACGCAGCTTGTCAATGACATTCCTCGCACTTGGATGCTCTTGTTCTGTGTGCAACAACAACGTATCCAATCGGTTGAAGGTGGAGCTGCAGATGTTACAACTGTATGTTGGATTGCATTTTTTTTTAGTGGAGCACATTTTTGGTCTTTTGGGAGAGGGTGGTGAAGCGGTTTCAAAGCCCTCGGGGCTTCGCAGTTGTTCCAAAAATTTCCGAATTGATAACGGTAAGCTTTCATTAACTTTTTCAAAAAAGAAAACAATGAGAACGTGCTTCTCTTGTGCTGTTTGCGATAAAAGGAACACTGAGTAAAAGTGACTCTTACTGTGTCTCCTTATGTGGGCTCTCATTGCTGAAAGTGTGCTGTAGCCTTCAAGGCATTGCACGCACAAGTAGAATTTGGCTTTCATGTGAAAGAGGATGTGCTGGCGCATTGCATCTACGTCGTCGTATTCCTCATCGCACGCAACACATTTGTATCCACCTTCTGGTTTGGTTACACCTTCCACACAAAAAAAAATAAACAATTAACCAACTAACGAAATATCTGATAAAGGGTTTTCTTTTGGTGATGGGAAAATGTTGCCTAGTGCTAGGATTTTGGCAAATTGCACAAATTTTCCTTATCAGAAAAGCCTATTTGGAATCATATTTACACATCTTTATGTCACAGATCCGTACAGTACAAATTCATGTGAAAATTCAGCTGCTCTTCTCGATCATTGATAAAGGGGTTCTCGATAGCATCTCCAGCAAGGACGTATTTCAATCGGGAATCCTCGTTCTTCAGCATCTCCTAATGTAAGCACTCGAAAACTTAGGCATAATAATATTTCAGACCGCTATGAGGCAAAAAATGAATGGCAAATCACGCACTTACCTTCACCTCCGCCGAGAAATCAGGCTCTTCTTCCGTTTCCATAAGGAGGCGTTCGAGTAGACTTTCTTCACCTCCTGCACCTTCCCTGTGACTCTCGCTGGAGGCGGAGCCTTCCTGCTCCATCGGTTTGCTGGTATCTTTAAGATTGCAAAAACTCTTTTAACCTAACAATTTAGAAGGCCCTAATAGGCAAGACTACGAGTTTTACAATCGAACCTTCTCCACTCTTTACGTTGCGTTCTTGGCTCATTTCTTTGGAATATTAGTGATTGAACATCATCTCCAACCCTCGTAACGCCAATCTTGTAAGCCAATCTCACTTGTAGAGCAATCATCATTTTGTGTGTACAAATGAGCGCAGCTTTTCTTTGAACTTGGCAAAAAACACCTACGCTTTCCCAAACGAACAAGACTGCTAAAGGAAGGAACAATTCAAAGGACTGTCACGAATTTTAAGTGAAAAGTTACACAGATTTAAGGTAACAAATTGCCATGAGTGGTTGGCATCGTCGAAGACAAAATCATATTTAATGCCAAAACATTTGACTCGCTTGGCGAAGTTTTCAAAAGTAACTGATTCCCAATGACAACGGAAAGACTGCTTCGCTTCCAATTTGGAGATGTAGTATTGCTGCATGGGCCATTTTATTTTCATACCTGCTGGAGGAAAATTCTCAATTGCGTTATTAGTGCATGGAATGTCTGGATGTTATCCATTACCGCTGCTTTAATGTCCCGAACTTGAAGTACCAGTAAAGTCTGAATCATGAGAAGGTTGTAGACAGTCCTAAACAAATAGCCACCACTTGATTTGTCAAAGAGTGGATCCTGTCTCGATTGTGCGCCACGATTTTGACACCTCCAAGCCCCTCAGTCTCAAGTTTATCCACGGTTGAACAAACGTTGCGTTGGGGAAGAAATCAACCCTTCCACACACAGTTACTACACGATTGGGTAAAGCTTGACGTTGTGATTTCGCTATTTGTTGTGCCATTACTCACTATCAGTCATCAATTTGGGTAAAAGTTCCAGCTCCGAACTAGAAGACGAGTTCTGTCTGTGCTGTGTTGACTGCAAAGTAAGAGTTCACGCAAACCCACTATGCAAAAGCTGCTAGGCCCTTCAGGACACGAGGGATTTGCTAAGGCACTCAAAAGCTCGGAAGAAGCATCATAGCTGTAAAGTTGGGCAAAGGCAGCGAATGATCCCCCAGCCTTTTAATCTTCCACTGTGCTCATGGTTCCTATCACCCAAATTGTTTGCGTTGCAGTGGGAAAATGTTGGCAGCGGAGGGCGCGACCTTAACCGACAGTTCCCCAGGTTGTGGATGCGATGCGAATGTGCCGCTAAATTCAAGCTGATTACCACGATCCATTCGAGATAACGAAGGAGATAACGCGAATGTGAATAAGAATGATAATAGGAGGGCCAAATCTACACCAAACCCTTTCTTGGCGGTAAGTTCTTTATGGAGAACATGTTAATTTGCCATGACTTAGCAACATAGTTACGAAGTCTCGAGACTGATAGGTCTAGAGGAATTGTTTGTTTACCCCTGAAGTCCCTAAATAGTTCGGTTGCAAATACCACTGAGCTAAGCATTTGATAACGGAACTTCGGTGACAACAAAAATGCGAAGAAGAGAACAAATTGGACTATCTCAAAACAGTCCCAATTTGACTGTCCTTATTAAACTGAATTTATCCTGTACTACTTGTATAGGTGAATGGTAATCGCCATTATGAAGGAGAGAGGCAAAGAGAGAGAGAGCGGTTAATTGTTGTCTACAAGCTGAAAAAAAACAATCCTAGGTGTTGTTTACGCCGACTTTGTGTGTCAGAGGCCATAGGCCTGCATTCATACATTGTCTCTACTAGTTTATGCTGCACTCTTCGCATTCTTTAAACCGCTATACTTAGAATGATGTTATGCAGACGGTGGGTAATTTAGGGGTTGCCACGAGGTAAACAGAAGGCAATGCCGAAGAGACTAAATCGTTAGCAACGCATGCGACCTTCTATACTTCAAATGTGTTACGAATTCCAAGGTTTGGCCTGTATCTG